GACAATTCCTATTATTAATTTTTTGAACAAAAAGGCTTTGTTTATTATAATATTTGTATGTAAAACTTGATTGATATCCAATAATATTATCAGAGTCATCGTCTAAAATACCTAACTTTATGATTAAAACTGAAAGTTTGTCAATTGATATTTTGAAAGGATAAAATACTACATCTGATATTAATTGCTTGGTTATATATTCATTATCAAATCCTATAACTGAAGGTCCTGAATACCACGTTCCAATATTGAAAATTTTTTTGTAAGCTTCATTAATAGCTTCAGACGCAATTAAATAAATTTTTGCTGTAATATCTGATTCACACACATAACCTGGTCTAATATTATTGTTTATACTAACAATACAAATAATAAACTCTCTCTTATTAAGTTCTAGACAAACTCTCATATTTAGTTTTATGGGTACGCTTATCTGTTTTTTTTCACCAAATATTTTTTGATTAAAAAATGTTTACCAATTTACAGCATATAAGCCATAATGAAGCATTGGAATAAGATTACCGATAGAAATAAGTTGTATTTTAGATTTTTGTAAAGACATTAAAGCTTAATAGGTAAAGAAACTGAGATTTAAAAAATTTTAATTTTTAATATGTTTTATTAACTACGAGATTTACTATTAAATCGTGATCAGGTACTCTGATTGATCAGTGGATCAGCAATTAAGGTTTTCTCTAATTATCTGAAATGCAATATTAAGAACAGGGTATTTTTTAGGTTTTTAGTTATTTTATTACTTGAAGCACATTATGTAATTTTACAATTTGACTAAGATAGTAATGCTAAAAAGAAGAAAAAAATTTTAGACATCTCAGATGACTTTTTTGCTTAAAATTGTTCATTTTTTTGAATTATTTGATCTATTTGTATAAAGTTTTTAATAAATATTCAATGGCTTTTTAAAGGTCTGCAACTTTATAAATATTATCTTTCAAAAGTTCTAATATAATGATAACGCTCTTTAAATAAAATTATTATGTGATACTTATAATCACTAAGCTGCAAATATTTATTAAAATATGATATAAACAACTTGTTTATATTATAATTTATGTTATTTTTAGAGAATTTTATATAATAGATTCTAAAATCTAAAAAAAAAATTATTAGTTTTTTTTGCTAAAACTATAATATTCTCTTTTAAATATAATATGTAGAATTCTATCTAGTTTTAATATCAGTTAAAATAATAAGTAAATTTTCATTATTATTATTATTATTTGATAATTATTTAATAATATTTTAAGTTTTTTAAAGTCATTAAACTTGCTTTAATAAATAAAAAAATATTTGTAAATATTTTACTTAATAGTATACTAACTTGTATTACTTTAATCCTTCTAAAACTGAAAGTTGTAATATATAGGAGACAGTTAGTAAAGATCCATTTTTTAATCAAAAATTTTTTTATTAGTTTACTTTGCTGATTATGATTATGTAAACAAAACTAGCCTAATAACTAAAATTACTTAAAATTTGTAAATTTTTCTCTTTTCTATTGATTAATCCCTTATATGAACAGCATAAGACCACCATTCTATTTATAATACAAATCTTTCTTTTAATCATCAAATATAGCTTTACTTATATTAATACTGTTATTTGTTATAATAGTAAATATTTTATTAATTAAATATTAATTATTTAAAACTTTAAATATTTTTATATTTATAATTTCTTTTAAGTGTAAATATAAAAGATAATTACAAGATAAAAGAGTTTCTTAACATTCAAAATTAAATATTTAACTATATTATTGTAATACTAAAATATTCTTATTTGAACTTTACAATCTATAAATTAATAATTATATAAAGAAAAATAATATCATTATTTAAAAATAAATAAAATCAATCTTTAATCTATATAAAAGATTTATAAATTATTGCTTTATAGTTTTATTATATAGTATTTTAAATGTTTGATAAATAAAGAGTAATTTAAGAAAAAAAAAATTTTGTAAAATATATATTATTTGATAATAAAGTAATAAACTTTTATATAATAAGCTTTTAACATTTTTTAAATATGAAGTTACTTTTTATAATATTTTATAATTTATTTTTAATTATATTAAGATTATTAATAAAAAATATTTGGTTAAAATAAATATATATTAATAATAATAATAATATCAAATTTAAAATCAAATAATATAACTAGTGTTCTAAACAGATCAATTTAAATTAAATCAATCAAGTTACCTAAATTGAAAGAATTAGATTAGGTCAAACAAAAATCTGACCTGATTTTAATTTTCATTTAATTTGACCTAATCTAACTGAATTATTTTAATTAAATGATAATGAATTATTCTAATTGAACAATAATAAATCATTCTAATTAAATAATAATAAATTATTCAAGAAAATTGATTAGTTAACCTGAATTTTGTCAGATCAAATTGACCTATTGACCTAACCTGATATTAATCTAAAAATTTACTGATTTGACCTGAATATTTAAATCAGATTAGATCAAATAAACAAGTTGACCTAATCTGATTCAGAGCTTAAATATAATAATATCTTATTAAATTTATTCAAAAAATTTTCCTTTATAATGTTATATTTATTATATAAATAATTAATAAAATTTATTATATTTTTCTTCTTTTTAATAATATAGATATACCTTTAATATATATAGTCAGCCCTCTATATAGTCACATTCTATATAAATACACTTTTTTATAATTATATGATTTTACAAAACAGATTTAAACAATAATAAATTACTTCAATCACTATTACATAAAATTCTTAACCTACATATTATTTTTATTATTGAAATTTACCTCTTCACAATCATTATATTTTGGTCAGATAATATTTTTAACTAGAATTACTATATAAATATTACACAAAATTCCTTTTATAAATTTATATTACACATACTTTAAAAAGAAAATTATACAATTCAATTTTTATGAAATGACTATCGTCAAACAAGAAAATAATTTTTAGTCATATGATTTATCAATTATAATTTGAGTTAAAATTAAAATAATTAAAAATTTATATCTTTATAATAATCACATCTTTATATAATCACTAATTTTTAGGGAATCAAATAGGTGACTATATAGAGTTTAACTATATTAGTTAAATTAATTTTATATATCTTATAATAAACAATAAAAGAATTATTTAAATCAAAATGAAAAAATAAGATGTATAACTACAATTATTACAAAATTTGAAATTATATTATTTTAAATTAAATTATTAGTATTTATAATAATAAATTTAAGAATAATAAATATAAAATTTCCTTTTATTTTAATATTAAAAAACTTTATGAAAGAAATTTAAAATAATTTATTATTATGATTATCACAGGTAGAATAATATTTAATCAAATACCCAACCCGATTGAATACTTTTTTATAAAAATCGAAATTATATGTTCAATAATAATCAAACCAGTTATAATTACAGTTAAGTATCAATAAGGTTAAAACCTGATTGATCATTAATGTTTAATTTGAATTATCTGATTGGTTGCTATTGAATCTTAATTACCGATTGGTTTATTTTTGAGTAATAAATTAAATAAATATGATAAACTACCCTAAAGAAACACATAAAATACAATTGTTTATTTTAATAGTTTGGTATTTATATGTTACAATTTTTATGAAAAATAATACATATGTTATAAAAAATTATATTTAACGTCAGGACAGAGAAGGATAAATATTGAAACCGATTGGAAGCTAACTATATATTTATAAGCTAAATTGTCTATTAATGGGTATAACTGTTATATATATTTTTGGCTTTCTTTTACCTATTATAAATTTGCCTAATATAATTTGACTATAAATGTTATGAATAGGAATAATACTATCTCTATCAATTTCATAACATTTATTTTTCCAAAGTTCGATATTACAAATATCGTTATCATCATTGACTTTACAATAAAATCTTATTTGTTGGTTAGGCGCTGGCTGATGCCATTTTATGAAAGCCAAATAATGTATCTTTACATTGATTGGAAGTTCAATTGCATGTGTGAAAAAGAATTAGACTTGACTGGGAAATATATCTGTTGATTCGTTATCTTGTATAAATTTAGCCATAACATACAAATTTTTCAAATACCTTAGTGTTATCGTTGCTCTAAAGATTTCAGTTCCAATCTGAATATGTCTGTATTGATTCATATGTGATAATACAATAATAGAGTCTTCTGATACCAATTCATCAGAAGCCACTTTAGTGATCGTTACAAACTTCCAATTGTATGCATTATTATAATATTGGACTAATATTTTATAAATATCATCTGGTAGAGACATATTATTTTTTCTCAGTGTAATCATTTCTCTAGGGAATTATTCGTTACTGGTAATTGTATTATTGAGATTATGATGGAAGATTTGCATGAATCGGTATAATTCAGCAAAATCAAATCCATCATATGATGCTAAACTCCCAGTTATTAGTTGAGATTTTACTAATTTGAACACCTCAGTTAGCTTAGGATTATTCGATTGATTGGAAATTAGGTCATCTAATCTTAAATTTTGTGTAATGATACGCAAAAGTTCTGGTTCAATACATCACTAACTATTTGGAAAAGAACCTAAAGAGAACAAAAAATTAGTAATTGAATATGAATTAAAGTATCAATAACAATCATTATAATTATTTACCTAATAATTCATTCATTCTTTCAAATGAATAATACCAGAAAGAATACAATGGTCTATAATTACGGTAATATTCAGCAATATGTAAAGACAAATGAATATTTGAAGTTATCATCTCCTGCCCATAATATTCTTCAATTAAAAGAGCTACTTGAAGTAATCGATTGTGAGCTTTACTTAATACATCATTATTAATAATTCGATAAGTAAGTAAAAAACAAGCTCTTACAAAATTGGCTAGAATCTCTTGATCGGAAGTATATAGAAGGTTCCACATTAATGGGATTGCATAAATAAAAATAAAAGATTTTCATTGATCTGTGATATAACCAAAAAACCCTTCACCAGTAGCGATCTTGTAAGGAATTCTTCCTAAATCAGCTGAAACTTTGATAGATTTTGCTCTTTTTTCCATCAGTTTAAGGTCTGATTTGGTGAGCTTACCGCTATTGATTCATAATCTTTTAACAATCCGCTGTGCAATTCCAAGGAAAAGATAATGCATTGGATCGATAATAAGATATCTTATCAGGTTGAAATAGGGTAACCTTAATATTTCTGACCACCTAACAAGTGTTGTAGAAACATATTGTTTCCTTTTATTGTTAGACTTGCACTGTCACCATCCTTCAGCATTCTGTCGATATTCTTTAAGATCACGTTCTTAAAACCAATCGGTCATGTCATCGAATCCACCAAAATTACCACTGGTATTTACTTTTTTATAG